TTCAAGTAGTTGATCGATTACGCAGCGACACTCATCCATGTTTAATTGCACGCACATTACAGCCGGTAACCAAAACGGCTACGAACGAGTGAGATGTGAGTAACCAAATCAAAAAATGGTAACAAGCCCACATAATAGTCGTGATCAGACACGAGCCGGTACCGAAGGTCCCCGACGCACTACCAAGTGTATCCATAAATGAAAATGGTAACAACCGACAACCAAGTCAGCTTCATCGCGTTCGCAAATTTGCTATTTACTGAATTACTATTACATATCGCTGTTGGTAAACAGATAAATGAAATTATTTCACAGTCCTAGTCATAGAATATTTATTTTTAAGATTTTTAACCAATGGTAACAATGGTTACATGGACGCTTCGCCACTAATCATTCCGTCCAAATGTTTGCCATCCCTTCAGACACACTCTTCTAATCGCCCGCGCAAATTCTGAAACACTCTCTTGCAGAATTCTGGAGTGATGTTTATTTTTCGTCTCTCCTCCAGTGTTCGAAGATTATTGAAATACACTTTTGACTTTAGATAACCTCACAAAAAATTATCACATGGCGTGAGGTCGGGTGACTTAGGCGGCCAGTGAATTTCTCCAAACTTCGATATCACTTTTTGACGAAAAAGTGGCCCCATCCTGTTGAAACCATGGGTTTCTGTTTAATCGACGTTCTGTTCTTACAATAGGAGCAAAAAAGTGTCAATCATGTCCTAGTATCGCTCGGAATTTACTGTCAATGCATGACCGTTTTCATCTTCAAAGAAATACGGCCCAATAATACCGCTAGAGCAGAGTTCCCCAAACTTTTTTGTGTGGTAGACCCCTTGCCATGTTTTTCCGTGTTGGGTAGACCCCCTACTTACCTGATATTGATTTCCTGTAAATTTCTAACTGTAGTGAAGTTTAGTGTTAAAAACTTAAAGTAAAAACATGTTAATTTATACATTTATTAACTGAATTTAAATTAAAACTATTCAAAATAAAATTTTGTATCTGTTATGTAAAATATACGTAACATTAAATAAACAGGTGTCTGACCAATAAGTGCCAGCATTGAAAAAAAAATAAGAGGGATAAAATAAAAAAAAAGTGAAAAGTAATAAAAAATTTTTTACTTAAAATAGTACAATAAGCGAGTTCGTTTATTAATTATAACATAAACGAATGTTCTACAATAATTTCACTATTAGTTTGATTAAATTCCGCTTCTTATACGTTTAGGTTATCTAAAAATAGGCAAAAAATCAACGAATTTTAGTGTGTACCTATCCTTGAATTTTCAGAATAATTTTAAAAAAAATATTTTCTATAAAGGGGGGTTCTTTAAAAAAATCAATGCGGGCACTTATTCCCAATGCGGGCATTTATTGGTCAGACACCAATAAACATAAAATAAACTATAAATAAAATAACATAAGCAATAAGTCAATATTTTTAGTGAGAAGGATGAACCTGATGCTTTAATAATAAATTATCAACATTTGGCGTCAATTTTGTAAGGGTTAATCTTGAATCTCCTCGGCTAATGATGTCCAGTCTGTTTCTTTTTTTCGTTAGGAGACTGGTAACAGCGCTGAACCCCCTTTCCACTAGGTATGACGATGGAAAGGAAATTAAAAATTTCCTCGCTATATTCCATAATACGGGATAAGTAACGGGTATGTTGTTTTGCAGTCAGAATTGCTGATATCCGTTTTTAAACTGAACCTTAAGTTCTTCGTTTGTACTTAGTTCAGTCAGTTCCTCTTGTATTATGACATTCGTTTCTTCTATGTCACCATATGGATTAATTATCCACGGTGGTATTACCATAGTCAAAATATCATCAAACCTAGATTCAAAATCTGAATAGAGGGCATTTAAATGTTGAACGTAAGTTGAAGTAAGTCTGTGACAAATTCGCCCTGTCCAATATTTTGCTTCATTAGTTTAACTCTGGCAAGAAACGCTGATAAGATGGACTTTGTTTTAATCAAATTTAAACTGTGGCCTTGTAATTGCAAATTAACCATATTAAATTTTGTAAAAAAATCTGTTAAATAGGTGATGTCTGTTTTCCTCTTCATTAAATTTTCTTTTCAAATTTTATATTTAGTATCCAGATATTCTAAAATAGTCTCAACAATTGCAAAAAATCTTGTCAAACATAAGCCTTTCGACAGCCAGCGTACACACAACTGCGCAAATAATTGCGTATTCAACGCGTTGCTTTGGATTCGGTTTACTGCATCAATGACTAAATGAAGTGATTCATGCAATCTAACACTCAAATTTTTAGCAACTAAATGTTGTCGATGGATGACGCATTGTATTGCTAACACCCCTGACACATTTTGTTTTAAATAGCTTATAAATCCACGATAACGTCCAACCATGGCAGGTGCTCCATCTGTAGCTACTGATATTATATATGATAAAGGAATTGCTTTTTCAATGAAGTAATCCTTCAAAACATGAAATATTGATTCACCTTTAGTGTCGGTTATCAAAGCTCTTGCGAAGATTTCTTGATTCATAATAAAACGTACATATGCCAATAATAATGCTGCATTATCAGGTAAAGTTGACTCGTCCAGTTGTATAGAGAAATGGGCCGTTTGCAAATAAAATTACATAAGAAGCTTTCAATATCAGAACTCATTTCATCAATACGTCTTTCAACAGTATTGTTGCTTAAGGGAATTCTTTTAATGATATCGGATGCAGGTTTGTGTAAAACAGTTTTTAAAACCTCTTCAACGGCTGGCAGAATTAACTTCTCTCCGATAGTATGCGGTTTTCCGGATTTTGCTATAAGTAACGAGATATTGTAAGACGCCCGCAAACCATCATCATTTCTTTGTGACGTCGAAGCGAACATTCTGTCCAGTGTAGGTCTTTTCTGAAATTTATCTTTGAGTGTTTGAAAGTATTTCAAATCTTTCTCTGTTTTATCAGAGTGGCATCTTATCAGAATATCTTGCAGTTTAGATGGTTTCATAGCGTCATTGCCCAAAACTTTGTTGCATAAAAGGCACATAGGCGATTGTTTGTCCGGCAATGATGGAATGAAGCCAAATTTCAAATAATCAACACTGTACTGTACATTTCTTTTTAGATTCGAACATGGCATCAGTCATCTGTGGGCAAAATTAAATTATTTAAATAAGTGAGAAAATGCAGCAGCTGTATATTAAAAATATTTTTTGATTTTTCCGAAAACATTCCATAATTCGAACATCTTCTTGCAACAATTAGCTCGAATTACGGAGATTGCACTGTAATTATATTACCGATTGCTAAAACTTTCAAAAAGAAACTATTGAGGGGTACTCGTGATTGAATATTTAACTACTAATAACTAAAGTCATGATTGGCGTAATTTATCTATCTTTGCATACTACGACATACTACGAGTAGAAAACTAAAATTTAATAAAAAATAATGTACTTACTTTTCTCCAGCACTCTCAAACAAAATAACACTGACTCACTATAATTTGTGTGATATACTATCTGTTTATATTTTTTTAAATATTTTCTTAGCACTTTCCTTTTCAAGATTCAGGAAACGAATAAACGTATTTGTCCCACATTCGTATTTATAGAGTGACGAATTAAACAAGTCAGTGCAAGGTAGCGAAGCTCTGAGACTGCGACTCTCAGGTTTTTACAAGTTCAAAATGTATTGCGACCACAAAGCGAATACCAACATCCTACAACTTACACAATTTTATAAACATATATAGTAAATTTTTTACTTCATAGGTACTTTTATAAATAATGTATATGGTTTGATATTATAAGATGATATTGATATTATATGATGTAAGTAAATAGGTACTATCAGTGTATGTGTTGAGATCCACTATCGTGGACCCCCATATTCATTTCATGGACCTCCAAATTTTTTTTCGCTGACGTAGACCCCTTGCAGGTTGTCATAGACCCCTAGGGGTCGATATAGACCACTTTGGGAATCAATGCGCTAGAGGATACGGCGGATCAGTCACATTTGGCCTGTGTTGCTGTTGTTGATGTTTCCCTTTTGGGTTCGTTGGAGCCCAATATGTGCAATTTTTCTTGTTCACATAAAGTTCTAAGTGAAAATGTCCCTCGTCACTGAAAACAATGTTCTCGAGTCTGCGTTGCGGAGGGAAAATAACATCCGTTCAGCTCAAGATTTTCGTAATACGTAATCACTTTTATTTAATCATAGACTGATTGGATTGGACATGCAGTGTTGACCTAGGGAGTCCCAAAGCAGTGGAATGCTTCCGCATAGAACGCCGAGGATTTGCAATGACCGAATCACTTACTCAACGCACATTTTCTTCGGTTGATACAGTAGGTGTTGCGCCAGGAAGGGGCTGACTAAGAGTAGAGCCAGTTCCACGGCACCTCTTAATCCACTCTTTCAATAGGCTCTTACTTAGGGCATCTCTTGGTCGGCGAATGTTGTATCGTGTACAAAATTCCCGAAGGGCAGCTGCGTAGAATCACCACTCTTAAAGTGAGCCTCGATAGCAAAAGCATCTTGCGCTCTGGTCCAACGTTCCATTGCGATTATTTAACCCGCACGCCGAACGCGTCGATCAAGACCTCACTGGGCACCCGTACTTCGGTGAATATCAGTGAATCTAATCAGTTTTTTTTGAATTCATATTTCCAGTATAGCATAGAAAAAGGATTAACAAGCTATATCAGGCGACGTACCTCGGTACATATGTGGCTGCATCAGTATTAAAAAAAACCTCCGAACTGCATGAAATACGGATAGCATGGAAAGGCCGGACATTGAGTAAGAGCTTTACAGATTGAGACTAAAGTTTTTTAAACTTTAAAAACAGTAAGGCAAATAATAATGGTAATCAAGGCCTGTTCATGTTTATCTATACTGCAGCATTACCCCTGGTATCATATAAACATTTAGTCGAGCATCCAGTTTTTCAAATAACACATTCATTCAAAAATTTGGGAATAAAGGAGAAAAAGAAAACAGTAGTTATGAGATCTGGCAACATTATTGTATTTTATGTAGATGTGATGCTTTATACAGCGTAGTTACATAGTAACAACTGTTTTATACTACTTAACACTTAGAACTAAAGATACTTGTCTACGTCTAAGTTTCGTGTGTGCTGTGAAATGATATCAATGTACAATAGATCCATTTACCTTAAGAAGCATTGAAAACACCTCATATAATCCTGTCTCAGTTTCAATGTATTTTTTCAAAACGACTTCGTATCAGAATCTGCGAAATGTTTGTTTCATGAATCCGCTTATTTTGAGCACGTACCCACGCTACTTAACATGAAGGTTGTATTCAAAATAGTCAATAGTTATTTTAAAACAGAAATAGTATCTAATGAAGTGTTTTCAATTATTTTTAGCAAGTGCATTTTCAAACGAGTATCGACCCTTCAAACTGATATTGTGTAATGATTCAAGATTCTTCCTGTAGTTGCATCGCACGGAAAATAAAGCAGCCTTTTTAGATTGAATTGAAAGTCGATAGACAGTGTTGGAGAAGGATATACACTTGGTAAAATATACACTTGCATTTTGTCGTAGCTATCCATTTAATATATTCGATCCGATTTTAGAAAAGATAAAATGTGCCTAAATACGACATGCAAAAAACGTCTTAATAAAAAATGTTGTGTCCATCGTTTTTAAATCAGTTTAATAATAAATATCATTGGCAAGAATTTATCCTTAAAAATCGTTAGAATTTCGACTTTGCCACCCTGCCAGGTACACGATTTGTAAACGGCAAACAATGCCACGTCATCATTGTGCATATTTCTGAACTAGAAACTGTAGGACCGCATTGTTTTCTGTATCGGCATACGAGTAAATGTGATAAAATGTTCACACCTTGACATATTTCCGATGTTTTCATTTATGTGAACATCGCAGGATAGCAAGTATTCCTTATAGTAAAGTACTCCAATGTATATACTTTGAGCACTCCTCGCAGTCAATCATTCTATACAAAGTAAACACTACAAAAACATTAATTAGCAGATGCCTCTATACAGTCAGTTTTTGTAGTCCTTCCTTCTTTAATAAATGCATCAGTTATATAAAACTTAAGAGCGAATATAAATTACCAAAAACTAAATTGTACTAATTCAGTGTAAAAAGAAAATGTACAAAGTAATGATAATGTTCTGCTTAGGTACGCAAATTAACAAAAAGAACACGTTATTCGTATCTACCAAACAAACTATCACATACATATTTATAGAGATCTCTATACGAAGACACAGATTCACTTATATTCAAAGATCGTACAACAATAGGCAATAATATATAGTAAACTACATAGATAATGATTCAAGAAAACCCTGTATGTTTTAGGATAAATACCAAAACCGATCATCAAATTAAAAGACAGTATGGTAACCTCACCGTACTCCAGTACTAATGATGTCTTATTCATCTCGTATCGTTTTTAGCGACGCATCTGAATTCTAACCCCTTCCAATCAATCTTGATGTTCTGCTGCCGTCAAATGATAACACAGATGTAGGATGGTATATTTACTAACGTTTCAGCTACCTTGGTGGTCTTTTAAGAGTATAGGTCAAAATAAAAGATAAATAACAAATATGATGTTGGTACACAAGATACAGAAGGTGTAATATTTGACGACACCAAAGACGAAATCAGCATTGAAGAAGTAAATGGAGCAAAAAGGCAAATCAGCAAATCAAAAATATGCCCTAAACTAATAAGAGGAATTACAGCACTTTATAATGATACATCAATTGTGTAAGAAAGGAAAACATGGTATCAAAGCCTTTTAAAATAAAAGACGGTTTACGGCAGGGAGGCGTTTTAAGTCCTACACTTTTTATATTTATCGTAGACGACATCATAAGAACAATAAGATACAATCTCAAAAAAGTGAAAATTGGTCATTACAAACTGGAAATGGTTAACCTGTTACAATGTGTCAAACAGAAAAAAGACCTGCGAACTAAAATTAATGTAGCCAAATCTAAATAATGCTAATCGGAGAAAATGTCAAAGAAATAGTATTGCAGGGGTGTTTGCAGCTACCTTGAGAGAAAGTAGTCGCTGTGGATGAGCAGATGATACCTTTTACAGGAACTTGTCAAATGAAGCAGTTCGTTAGGGGAAAACCCAATAGAGAGGGATTAAAAAAGTTTGTTCTTGCTGCTCCTGATGGTCTTGTCGTAGACTTTGAACTATATCAAGCAAAAATACGTTTCCAGATGATTCTGTAAAACAACTTAGTGTTGAACCTTCTGCTGTTGCTCATCTTGGGAGAACATTATTTCCTGGAACTCATGTGTATTGCGATAGATATTTTACGACAATACCACTTCTTGAATATCTTCTCCAACAAAAAAAATATTGTACTGGGACGATTATGAAATCTCGTATACCAGGGGCAGCACATTTAACTTCAGACAAAATGATGGCCAAGATAAGTAGAGATAGCTCGGAACAAATTGTAAGGCAAGATGGCGAAATAGTGGTTGTACAATGGTATGACCTGAAATCTATACTTTTGGCATCTACTGGTCTAGGAATTCAACCTAGTGATGAGTGTAAACGGTGGTCTAAGAAAGACTCTAAACACATACAAGTTCCAAGACCTTACATTGTTGCTAAATACAACGATTGTATGGGAGGAATTGACCTCATAGACCGAATGATCAGCTATTACAGAATTCAAGCCATTCAAAGAAATCTACTGTGAGAGTCATCTTCCATTTCATTGAAGAGATAAAAAAATATTTCAAACCACTACAAGAAAAATACAGCAATATCTAGATTTCAAAATCGAAATTGCCACGTACCTTTTGAAAAATGAATCCAACACTTCCCAAGAAATTATGCGATGTATAGAAACTCATTGTTGATTCGCCATCAGCAGGCACCGAAAGAAAGCGGAAAGAACATTACCCAGAAATTGCCTCAGATTTAAGAAATTCGGTGCGATGTAAAAATGACAGTTGTGTTAAGACAACGAAGTTTTTTTTGTAATAGATGTAACACATTCTTATGCATAACTGGCATCAGAAACTGCTTTATAGAGTTCCATAGCAGATGAATTTAAGTTTACGTTTATTTTCTATGTTCTTATAAGTTTAAGTTTTGATTTTAAATGTATTTTTTTAACCATTTAAATAAATTATACATTATGCATGTTTGTATAGGTGAAGACCCAATGTCCATTTTAATGGACGTCATGTATCTTTCAAAATAAGAAAAAAAATAAAAAATGTCATTAGTAATAAATGTTTTCTGTTATACTATATTTGACAGCATCACAACTCTAACTTAAGAAAAACATGGCTGGGTCTCAGGAGGATATAGGTCAAAATAAAAAATGTGTAATTAAAAATTAAAAATTGATAAGGCCACCGGGTGGCCAAAATACTGGTAAATTTCCATTTCTACATCTATGGTTTCATTTGACAGATAGCAGATCATCAACGAGTCAACGACGGTAGTTATAATTTGGTAGTTGAAGTTACAAAGGTTTCTATTTATAAATTGGTACATTTTCTCACGCAACAGCTATACCGCTAGATTTCCTCGAATCAGTCATCTACGAATAAATAATAGTAATAAGTCTATAATTTCAAATCGTGGATAAATAGATCCACAATGTTATTCGTCATTCGTATATAATAAATATGTGGCATCTAATTCTAGATTTATCACAGTCCTATATAAAAGAAATCTGGGAAGATGAAAGTAATTGATCATTTTGCCCACCAAATACAACAAAAGGTTAAAGTCAGTGAGGCCCTTGGTATAGTAGGCATAACTATTAGACCGTTTTTTGAACTTGAATTGAAGTAAGGATGAGAAAGAGACTGAGTAAGTACTTTACAACATCAATACGCTGAATCAATAGAAATCATTAGAATTCTATCGTATTCAAGTTACACGTTTCCCCGATTTAAAAAGTCAGTTCCACATTAATTAAGACTATAAAAGAATTTACTATTTACGGTTCTGTATTATATTGCCATATAAAAAGTGTTGCATATATTTTTGGAATAGGGGCGGTATCGGGACGATCATGTGTGCATACGTTTCGATAACTATCTACCTTCAAAGTCTTCCCTTTGAAATTTCGTAAGCTTAAAAATTATTGCACGTACTATAACTTGACACTGATATAGGTAGTTTGTTTGGTAAATCAACATAAAGTTTATTCAATATAATTCACACATGCGGATCTAACAAGTGGAATAATATTTTATGTAAATGTTATATATTTTACAGATCAGTCTCCAAACAATATTGGAACTAAGGCCTAAGCAAAGCAAAAATCTACCTAGCTATGAAAGACAATTGAAACGCACAAGCATAGTTTATCAAATAGGGGGCATGTGCGCTAACCTTGCTTGCAAAATGTGCGTTAATTTTTATAAGTAGTTTCCAATTTATAAAGTGAGGAGGAATGAGTAACATAGATTTGGGTGTCCTAACATTGATGCAACACCATATTACACAATAAAATTTTGGTCGAAATAGTTTCGATGTGGGCGTGAATCCTTAGAAGACTATGCATAGAAATACAAGACCCAAAACAGCAAGAAATGAAAAACGGCTCAAAAAGTTGAAGCCACGGTTCTCCAAGATCGTCGTGTGGAGGTCTCTACCATTAGTATGCTATTGCATATATCGGAACCCAGAGTAATAGGCATCTTTCATGACATTTTGAACACGAGTAAGGAGTCAGCCAGATTGGCTCCAAGACTGTTGACACCTTAACAAAGCCTGCTCAGGCTGAACATTTCAAACAGTCATTTGGAAACTCTGACCAACGGTTCGGACTTTTTGCCACAAATTATGACGGGTGACGAGACTTGGGCGAATCATTGTGATGATGAGACAAAAGAGCTGGGGGTTCATAAATGGTCTCCACCTACCAAAAAGGCACAGACCTCTGCTGGAAATTTGAGGAAAACAGGTTTTTGGGATATCAGGAACATCTTTTCCATTGAATATATTCTAAAAGGGACAACAATAAATGCATACGTCTATAAGTAACGCGATGAATGATTAAGTAAGCAACCAACCAGAAGAGGCCCGAATTTTTCCAATTGAGAAGCGTTTCTGCTACAACTGTGCAGCAATACAGCTTCGTCGAGATAGACGATACTCTCTATAGTCCGGATTTGACTCTGTCTGACTTTTGTCTCTTTCGATTACAGAAAAAAAAATTACCGTTTTGACTCAAATGATAACCTAAAAGCAACCGCCGACAACCTTTTTGAGTGACAAAAGGAAACACTTTTTTATAAGGGATAAGATAAAATTTTCAATATGTTTCATGGCTAGGTAAATTTCTTTTCTAGTGTCCCTCGTAGCTTGATGTGAGTACAGTTTATTGATAAGAGTCTTGAACGTATAACTAGGCAGATATTTTAGTTTTGAGATCACATTTGGAATATCTTCGGACCCAGTATTGTCTGAGAATCACACCTATAATATATATGAAATGATTTCCGAAAGAAAAACTATATATAAAAATTTATATTTCAACTAATAGTATCACTGTTACATCCGCAAGTGTAACCATTGTGTTAGAGATTCACGCTGAATCGAGTATTTTCACGCCCCGTGAAAAGGCTGAAGGTACGTTATACAATAATATATTACCCTAAACATCTAGTATTACAAAAACGCAACAGCCTCTCATCAATACTGGCTAACCACAATGGTGACTCACACGATGGATCGATATTTGCGAACGCTATCGTAGATGCCCCATCCCACTTCTGATTTTTCGCCATTTCGAACAAAGTCGATGAACTTGTACAGCTGATAAATCCCGATTCTATATTCTTCCAAATGCATGATTTCTTTCTTCTCAGAAGTGGAATCACATTTAAGTTAAATAATATAATTCGCAAATATTGCCATCGTTCTGGTATCATTGCAATACACCTATTTTATCGCGGTTCAACGTACTGAGACCGCTTAAAGCGTTAGAAGAATGTTAAGTGAGGGGCGCCTAAGTGGTCCAAAATGTATGCCTTTTATTCGAAATTGACGTATTTGGAGTCCACCGGACACCCGTTTGGTACACACTGTCTCATTGCATAGGCTCCAACAAAAAGGCAGAAGAGCGTCCAAGCTTAAGAGCATTTTACTATTAGGTGCAAGGGTGAGACCAAAAATGAGATCACGTAGAGATATACTAAAGAGGATCGTCATACTTTTTTTATTGTTAATCTATAGACAATAATCAACACATCGAAAATGACATCTATTACCAGAATCGACCATTTCTTAGTAGTGGATAGAGGATACTTTGGCTTTGCTTTTATTCGTTGTTCTACATGGAGACGTAGACCGTGTTGATAATTGCCAATAAGATTGAATCAGCGTTGTACGCGGTTGGTTGGTCGGAAGGACGAAAGCAATGTTACTAACTACATCGAAAATAATACGTTTTTGCCAGAGCCTATCGTTGATTTACTGTGCAAGTGTTTTGTGACGTGATATCCATAGGAGCAGACGCTGAAGGAACGCAAGTTTTAGCTCATCGGTTAATCCCTTGAAGCATTCTGCTGTTGAAACAAGTGAGGCTTTTGGATAAACATATTGTGATTTTCAGCCGGCAATTAATACATAATTGCTGGTGATATGTCCTAGACGTAATTCAAAACAACTTTGTTTAATTGGTTTGTATACTTAAGTTCCTTCATCCCCATTCCCACAGAAATAAATTGAGCTTTTCATGCTTACTCAACTACATTTTTTAGAAAGTACGATCCTGTGTTTTCTTGTTATACATAATTACGAATGAATGTAATCTACTTATTCCTACACTTTAGCTAAATGCTTCAATAGTAAAAGTCTGCTTGGTTCTGTTTCTCAATATCATATATTTAGAACTTTTTTCGTTACGCTTTATCAAATGGTTACGATATCACACTGAACTTGAGAAAAATTGCTGCATAGAGGTACAATTTACATAGGTATGGAGGCACAGAATTGATATCATAATTTCGCTTGTTCTTCTTGATGCTACAAGTCTCAAAATCCTTCGTACATATTTTCTAAAGAATGATCTGTCGGGACATTGAACATATATTGGATCATCTCTTAGAACTCCCATAAGAGTAGCTGGAGAACTAGCTCAAAAACGTAAAGGTATGAAAACCATATAGCGATTACGTGGCGAGTATCTTAGTATTAAGAGACATGTAGTACCACTAACAAATTTTATTCCATTCCCTATATCTATGCATACTATAACTCTCACACAATTATGAGTCACAAAGAATTCGAGGAACGAAGTGGTTGAAATTCCAAAATGCCACACTGGCATTTTCATCGCATTCGACAAGCACTTTCTAGTTCAAATCTACTTCTGCCGCCATTACTGCCACTAACACGTCAATCTAGGTGATAGCAAAGATTGCTATGGAAAAATACGCCACACTGTCATGCACACGATGTATTCTAGAGCAGATATGGATCTGGTATCTTGCTGATGAAGCTGCCATACAGCACTCATCCAAGTGCAGCCTTCTTTTGAAGTAATACTGGACACATTCAAATTGAACCAGATCTGGTGTGAACTATGCTGAATCAAGTGAACAAATAATCTCTGATTTTGGAAACTCGCACAGTTTAAGTACTTGGCTGCTTGATTGTGAATCAGAACTTGCTTCAAGATGTTCCATTCTAATATTTCCCACCCACCACTAAATCCTAATATACGCTGCTTTACAACCCAGACGTCATCCTTATGCTGCTGTACTGCAACTCAGCAAAGCTTAACACAGTGCTTCATTGCGTACGTTGGTATGTCAGCCTTTTCAAATACTGCCTGCATTCTAACAATAACGTTATAGCTCTACCGCACCGGCTTGTATTACTCGTTCTGCCCTTACGATAGCTCACGAAGTACGGCCCTCCCAAGTTTTAAAACAAACTTGAATGCAATCTAATAATCTAGTTCTTCTTGGCAGTAGTACTGGTGCATTTCATAGGAACTTTCTCATCAGTCACGATACTCGTACATCAGCAAGCGCTTTCAAGCTCTCTACTCCGTCTCCTGTTGGCTTGTCTTTTCCTGAACTCGTTAAACTCTTCCTTCATAGCTTGTACCCTGGCATCTATATTGTCGTACCTTCCCCTCAGACCTATGTAAGCCTTCCTTTGTGGTCCTGGTACAGCCCCTGTTTCGAGTTCCACGTCTCTGGATCCAGTTGGTGTGGAAGGTGTAGGTGTAGGAGTGCTTGGGTCAAATTCGTAGTGACCGTCAACGCTTCCGACGTCTACAGCTTTACCATGAAGATCTGACGCACTGGGTGAAGAAGAAGCGATTTCCAGCCAATGACCGACGAGAGAAGGAGGAGGCGGTGGTAGCACAGAAGCTGGTGGAGGCGGAGGAGGTCTATAAGGGGGCAGTAATCTCCATTCGAAAGTACTACCACTGTGCGAGCTATGGTTCTGCTGAGAGGAAGTGTTCTTGCTACCGAACCCGCTGGAGCTACTTCTACTCTCAGGAGATCTGTCCAGATGGTCTAGTTCTGGAGCACTTCTTGCTAACCTTGCGTGTCGAGGTGGTAAGAACCTAGCACTTCTGCTTAATCTGTGTTGAGGTACAGCCCTGGGACTTTCTCTTACTGGATGCACTGGGACGAAACCTTGGTGTTCTTCGTGTATAGCTCTTAAAGGAGGTAATTCTTGAGAGTACCTTTCATGTACCGACCTTAATTGATTGAAACCTGGCGGCGTGGGATAAGAACGTTCTCCTGAGCTTGGATACCGCACAGAACTGAGATCGCTGAAGTACAGCGGTGTCCAAGGGGAGAGAAGCAAAGTGCTAGGTTCCGCTGGCGAGCTGGACATGATATGCGAAGCTTGCGGATTGTAGATAGTAGGAATAGGCTTCAGCGCTGGAGGATGCAGGAATCTCTGACCAAGGAACGCACCTAAGCCTCCAGCCGATTGACCGGAAGCGTCCGACCTCAAACTCAGCTGACTTGGGTAACCGATCAAAGGTCTTCTCCACGATGCTCGATTCAAGGTACTCCTTTTGGGCAAAAAACCACCGTCGTCGCTGCTGGAGACGTTAGATGAACTCTCGGCTTGTCTTAGACTCAAAACGGAATCCATCAAAACAAATCTTCCATCTGCTGCTCGGGAGATCTTCGCCAAAGACTTGGAAGGTGTGCCTGTGGGTTGCAGATAGTCGGGATGCCAGGTGAGACTGTTCAGGCTGCCACTGCGGCATCTATCTTTGGGCCAGATCCAGTTGGCGATGAATGTGAGTGTACTCAGACCTGGTATTCGGCCTTTTCTAAATCTAGAGGAGAAATTGGGTTGTTAGATTCCAGGGCTTTTGTAAGGGTACATGACTTTTCCCACTAAAAATGTACAAATATTTTCTAATCACAGTTACCACCTGACTGCGTTTAGCCAACTCAAACTGCTATGTCTTAATTAGCTTAGCCTAATCTCATCCAATATTCTCAGTAAGTCTTACGCGAGATGTTAAGTAAATACTAGTACTAGTAAAACGTGGGGAGTTCTAGTTTCAACAGAAAGAAACTGCTAAGAATAAATAGAACGCGTTTCAATTAACACAGATTTTGATTGCAGTACATACTTGATTACCATAAATTGCTGAAGTATGCTTGATATTAATAATATCTATTGGTTCATAACAAACCTACTCAGTGAGAAAAATCATATAATCCAAGACAGAACATTTGGTACTAAAATCAATTTATTAATCCCTAACTAAACTATTAATATTTTCATGCCTATAAGAATAAGAGTACAAAAAACACTCACGTGCAGTTCAGTGTATAAAACAGAAGGCCAAATCTACACCAAGCAAAACCATAGAAAGTAGAATACTGCAGCAAAGCACAACTCCATTTTAAATAAAGACGCATCCAAACTCAGCTCCAGGGAAGTGATAGAAGATATATAGATTCGTACACATATTGTGTATTATATTTCAGTAAAAAGCTCTAGTTCTAAGATATTTTGATTTCAGATTTGATAACATTATTTCACATCACATCGGGGCTAAGTAAATTGTGTTGTAGATGCAGCGCTAAGCTGGTTCAGAATAGTAATATTGGGAAAAACGACAGCCAACTATACAAAGGAGCGACCGTACTAGCCAGTTATGGTGATGAAAAACTTGATCCTGAGGAAAAAACGTGCAGACTGTCCCACTTAGAGCTGAAATGATCTAATATTCAAGAAAATGACGTGAGACAGCTATAAAAGTTTACTCTTATGTTTTATTGCATAAGTGGTAGGATCAACAAGGCTAATTTTTTTCCGATATGGTAGGACTCCTGGTTGTACCGGAAGTAGATACCAACTTGCCTGTAAATTATTAAATTTTTAGCTCCTACATGGAATTCTAAATGCATTTCAGTTATATTATCCCATACGTATCATCCTATACGTAAGTCTACCCGTTTTTGAAACATCTCAACTTTTCCATAAAAAATGACAATGAGTTGCAAACTGTTTTTTATCTTTTTGCCTTTGCCATATGATTTATAATGCAGTCAACCAATCGACCAAAACCTGGTTTATTATCCTTAAAAAATCCTAAAACGGTAAAAACAGTATTTATAGATAGAGCAGCTATTAAACAGACCAACAAGATAGTATGCGTTGATTCTAGGTACATGCCATTTCTCTAGTTTTCCTATAAATATTCCTAATGAACATGAGTTTACGATCATAGCCGGTATTTCATATCTTCGACCTAGGTACATATGACCTTAGTAATGTATTCTTTTAAGGTATAGATCTATTTCTTGTACTATGTTGTGGCTCTATGAGAATTATCTTATTTTTGTGTTGTGTACTTCGTTTGTTAGTCTTATTTGAGGTCACAATCAAGGTACATTTCTAGGTATTTTATATAGAGAATTTGATATTGCGAACCATTGCGATTTTAAGCTTTTGATTACTGGACTAATTCATCTTGGATCTCTTGTATACTTGCAGTCTGATCGCACATGATGTGAACTGCATGAAGTGAGTTTTTCCAAAGTTGACTGTTAGTAGCCCACTGTTGAGACAATCAGTGACTTTTTGAATACTGATCGTGACTGCCACGTAATATCAGAATTAATCATAGCCGTATCGACATCAAAACTCACTGCATATCCATTTACATCAAGCAAACTACGTACTAAATTCCTATTTAAAATAAGTACGAGATATTTCCTTATCTTTCTTTAAGAAATAACTTTTTTTC